CACTGTATTATATATTCACTTGAATTAGGGTTTATAAGCAGTAGAATGAGTTTGCTCGAAAACTATTGAATTCTCAGGTGGATTTTTTGCTGAAACATTACCAAGACCTGTCACCATTCTTGAGGAGATGCAACACTTTAACGCTCAGCCCTGACTTCTTGATTCCCCAAGACAACGGAGACGATGAAATGACGCTGCATTCGACGATAGTCGACGACAGTGACGAGCCGATGAGTTGGTCGTCGGGGTCGGAGAGTATGAGCATGGCGTACAGTTCTGATCAGATTGTGAGGAAGAAAAGGAGTGGGCTATATTTGTGGAGATCATCGGGTAATAAGGTTTCGGACGAGGATATCGCTTCAAGCATGAGTAGAAGGAAAGGCATTCCCCATAGATCTCCTCTATGTTAGCACACCAAATAAAATAAAACAAAAATAAAAAATAAAAGGTTTAGATTTATAAAATTATTGCCATTCTACTAGTAGTTTAGCTATGATATTTTTTGACTGAAGCTGAGCTGAACCATTATTATTAATTTCAAAATGCTTTAAGCTGTGTGTGTGTGTTTCTCCCTATATGTTTTGAAATTAATTTAGTCACTTGGTCGGAGGGTTTTGTCTTAATGGCATCACGTGATTCCTAGTTCCAAGTTAAGTGTTTGTACATTTTTTTAATTAATTATTGGTATACGATCTATTGATCGATCGATCCAAATCGAGTATTATAGAGGCGAGGGCGGCTTTCTCAACCCGATTTGCTTCATTAGCAAATGTCAGGGTTCAAACTCCTGACCTTGTTTTTGTTTAAGGGATCCGATGTCTCATCCTACTAGACCAACTGATTATTAGTTTTGTACATTTTTTTAATTTGATTTCTCATTACCATATGATTTACTTATTATTTATTCAAAGCCATGAATGAACGGGACAACTCTTTATTGTTCTACTCTCTAAGCCTATCCTGTATGTACAACACATTTTTCATGCTTAAACTAAGGGCTATATTTATAAATTCAGATAATTTTTATTTATAACTTGTGATAAATATTACTATAAAAGCATTATTATCTTTTTATATTTTTTGAAATATTTTTTTATTTCCTTAATATATATTTTTAAAGCCACTACTTTTGTTTGATGTCATAATTTAGTGACACCATCTAATTCAAAAGGCATTTTCAAAGCAAAATACAAAATAAAATATATAGTTATAACAATAGTTCAATTTTACTTGTAAAAAAATAATTATTGTTGTTAATTTTTAATTCCCTGCATTATGAATAATTAAACCATATTTTTATAGTATAATTATTGTTAAAAAATCCATGAAAAATGTAATAAATATACAACAAATTCCACAGTATATCCAAAGTTATAGATGTACACATATACACACGTGAAATGGAAACACATGCAGTTTTCAATTGTTAATTATCAAAACAATGGAATGGGAGAGTAAGAGCTTTCATTTCTTTAACCTTTCTTGAAGAGATAGAAAGACAGTGACTTCAATTTAATTTTTAAATTTTAAAAATGAAAAGTTTGACCGGTCAAACCCTACCACGTTATCAAGCTTTAATTTTTATTTTATCTCATTAAAAAAGACTATAAAATAATAAATGGCTTGTACTGGTACATAAGAAGAAAACAAAATGACTTAAAAGAGATTATACTATTGATATAAGATAAATTATCATTAATTCGAACGAAAAATCAAAATTATTACAAAAAAATATCAAAATAGATCAGTTGATAGGATAAAATATTATGAACTATATATAATAAATTTTAAAATATTTATTGCAATACCTTATTAAATCATCTCTAATATTCTTTTCAGAAATTGTTAAAATGATTTTAAAAAAGGTTAAGTGAGATAGTCATTATAAAGATAAACTTAATATTGAGGTCTTTTTTTGCCAATCTACTTATAATTTAATTAACAAAATATATTTCGAAAAATTCAATAAAATAATCATTACATAAATTAAATTTATATTATACAAATGAATATACAATTAAATCATAAACGATAAAAATGCTCAAAATATCAAAGTTTCTAACAATAAATTCATATCTATCAATATAATTAATTATTCGATAAATTTAGTCATTAATTAGTTTCAAAGCACATCAGTTTAGCTCGATAATTACTTAGTATCTAACGGATATACAAATCAACGTCTTATTGTTAAGTATTAGTAGCAATGTAACCAACTCCTGGACGTGGTCTAGGAGTTACAATTGAATTAGTGTAACCATGCTAACCAAATATAGTGTACGGATGAAAATTTATTTAGTAAATCATTTTAAAAACATTTACCAAATACGATATCAGAACAAACTCATGTCACAATTTAAAGAGCTTGAAAGCAAAATTTTAACATCACACAGTATGAAATCGAGATTACTCCTCCGATAGCAAAACCAATTATACATTTAGATAATCTGAAAATAGAAACATAAACAAAGTTAGCTACAAAGCTCAATGTGTCTATTAAATACATATAATAATTCAGATATTTCAGGCATGTTATAAAAACAATAAAATAATCAACTAATAGAAAAACCATATACTATTACCAGAAAATCATACAAAGTTCCTTCGAACCTTACTTCTTGTCATAGACGAACAGAACAGAAAACATTACCTGCTGAAAGGAACATGAGACCACCAAAGTGGACCTAAAACAGAAAATAGAAATCAGGATAGGGACGTTACTCTCCCAAGAGGAGCCCAAGTTAACCTCCAAGGAGGAACTCATCAGAAATAAGAAACAAGACGAGGATGTTGCCCTCCGTAAAGGATCCCATGCAGAATCAGGTCAGGGATATAATTCCAAGCAGAATCAGGAATGCATCAATGCTCAGATTTAAAATGATACAACAATAATAAAAAAATCAGTCATAACTCAAATACACATAGCCATAATATGTGCATGCATACAAATAATATCATACAACATAACAACATATAATATTAACATTATCAAATAGGTAAAAGGGTCACAACTATAATAGTTAATCCATACCGGCTAAGCCTTACGCTTCCCACAGTCAGTAGTACTATGTCCTACGGAACAGGAACCTAAAAATCAATACCACTCTATGAATACATAAATCATATGTCTAAACAAAAATATATTATAAAGTCACTAAATAATACTTATGCATATCTCGAGATGAGCGAGCAAAATCAAACTAAATAGAACAATAGTGATCAGGATCTACTAAAGAGCAGTTTGGAGACATGATAGTACCTTCAAAAAGTAATACCAAAAAGTGAGTCCAAAATCTCACATTGTACTTAATATAATTAAGACTTTAAGCAATAAATGACATAAAATAGAGCTTTTGGGGTGGTCAGAATTTGGCCTTACAAGCTCGAAATCCTGAATCCCAACCACTTGTATCAACACCCATTTGCTTTAATTATAATTTATTGATTAAAAGAAATTGATATAATTATATCAAATTGATTAGAGGGTTAAGTTTATTTTAATTTATTAAAATTAGGATCAGATTGATAAAATATATAAGTAACAGTGATCAAATGTGAAATTATATCAAATATTTTAACTGCCACATCAACTTCTCTGTTAAATATTAACGACAAGTGGCTTAATTGAATACATTTAAATAGTTGAGTGACATGATTGATAAAATTTCAAAAATAGTGATCAAAATGAAAAGGGGCAATAGTTAGGTGATCACTGGTATAGTTTACCCTATATTTTAAATAATTTACGTTTAAATCTTTTTAACAGTAAGTAGCTTAATTGAATACATTTAAATAATTGAATGACATGATTGATAAAATTTCAAAAATGGTGATCAAAATAAAAATGGGAAATTGTTAGGTGGTCACTAATATAGTTTACCCTATATTTTAAATAATTTACCTTTAAATTTTTAACTAATTTATAATTATAGGTCAAGTATAATTAAATCGTTTTGCTATTCGTCAAAACTAAAGTTCAATGATACAATCATATTGATTTTTAGTGTAATGATACAAACCTTAAAATTTAGTGATATCTAAAATAATTTAACTTATTTATTTATTTGGGTGTTTTGTTATTTTCTTGCTTTTTCAACAATTTCATCATAACAAATAATAAAAGAAAATTAAGTTTTTTTAGTTAATCATTGGTTTAAATAGTTAACCTTCTGGATCACTGGTATTGTTAAAGCTAAGAAGCTTTAATAATTTAACAGAAACCAATGATAAATTTAGCAGATCAATTGAAAGATAATGGTTTTTTCTTTAATAATTTTCATCAAATATAGTTTTTTTATAGTTAAAGTGATGACTTGACACAATAAAAGACTACCACGTGCCATATATTTATAATTGTTATAAAAATATTTAAAACACTGATTGTGTGCCAAACATTTGTCAACATTGTCCCCATAGATAAAAAGTTAACACTAGACTACGAGCTTCTTCTGAATAAGGACAATGCTAAAACATTATCCACAATGAAATAGTGGCAAGTGTCGATGCAGTGCCCTATTAAATAAAACCATGCTCTCCGCCAATATGGATTTATGTACAGCACTGCCCCCATTGTCATCAACACAATTCCGTAACAAACCCAGAAAGCCCCATAGAAGGCATCCATGTCCACCCAATCGCTTTCTTCTTCGCTGCCAGAGGCATTTGGGGATATCCCGGTCGAACCAGTTTCGGTGCAACTTTCATGTTTTGGAGGTCCACAAAGAAAAGGGTTTCCCAGGTAGCTGCTTTCATCAAACGTCCCAAATTGAGCCTTTTCATGTGGAATGCTACCTGACAAATTGTTGTAGGACACATTGAAGACTGCCACAAAGTTCAACTCCATCAATTGGACGGGGATTTGTGTACAACCCTTTCTTTGTCGTAAACACTACTTGTTCTTCCACATAGGTATTAGGATACCAATGTAACTTTTCAAAATTAATATCTGGTATAAAAAATATAATTCTTATGGTCTGAAAAAACTTTCTATCTGTTGGCTCAAGAGATAAATTACTTAGACAAGAAGGAATAAGACCAAAAAGCTTGTTTTGAGAAAGATCTATTATACTTAATGAGTTCAATTGGCATATTTGAGTAGGAATTCCACCCTCAAAGTGATTGGCTTTCAAAATGAGGATACTCAGAGCTGAAAGGGTTCCAATCCAATTTGGAATTTTGCCAGTAAAGTTATTTTGGCTAGATCTAATGTCACCAGTGAAGAGCTGCTGTGAAGCGCACGTGGCAGGGGACCACTTAGTCTATTTCTGCTCAGGTGGAGATGCTCTATGGTTAGTGAACTGATGCAAGATGGCACAGATCCAGATAAATTGTTCCATGAAAGGTCCAAAAATCTAAGGGAATTTAAATTGCATAGCTCAAGAGGAATATGACCGTCGAAAAGATTGTTGGAAAGAACTAATGCCTCCAACCTTGATGCATTCCAGATCCATCTAGGGAGCTTACCAGACAAGTGGTTGTTGCTTAGATCCATATCACTAAGAAAAGGAAAACTGATTGAGATATCAATTTTTGGTATCTCTCCATGGAAGTTATTGCCATCCAAATACAACCTTTCAGTTGAGCTAAATACTGAAGGTGGTATTGTTCCACTCAAATTATTACTTGAAAGTCTGAGAGTCTCCAGTGAGTTACTGTTGGTTAACTCTTCCATTATTCCTCCAGAAAAATTATTATGTGATAGATCTAACCATAATAAAGACTTCAAACCACCAAAGCATGAAGGAATATTACCTTCAAAGCCGTTCTTAGACAAGGAAAAGGACTTCAAATGTGGAAACGTTGAGCATATGTTCATCGGAACTTGGCCTTGCATTTTATTCCCAGACATATCAACTTCAAAAATGTTCACATTAGCATGTTTTGGTAACTGCAGAGGACCCTTGAAAGAATTGCCTGCCATGAAAATTTGTTGTAGCCTTGTATTATTCTCCAACAACCAAGATGGACTTTGTCCACCGAAGTTGTTATCCGAAAGGTCAAGATATCTCAAGTCATACTGGTCATAGAGGAAGTTGGGAAGTTCTTTACAGAGTCCCTTTGTCGAACAATTTGACATACTCAAGGATTTTAGTTGAAACTCTGAGTTTTTGGTCCGAATCTGAAATGTAGGTTCTCTTACCAAATGGATTTGATCCATCAATAGATACTTGAGAAGTGAGTTGTTTGCAAATGGTATGAATGAAGATGGAACTTCGATGTGATTATTTGAAATATCCAGAAGACGAAGAGAAATCAAGTTACTGAAACAAGAAGGAATTGACCCCTCAATTGTATTTCCACTGAGATCTAGCTCTTCGAGGTTCCACAAGTCACACCAACCTATAAAATAAATTTGTTAAATATCTATATGATATGATGTAAAATTTAGCTAACGAAATGAAGATTGATTGAAGAAATAATGATTTTTCCTAGAAGTTTAAATCAACCTCCATGATCAATGAAAACTACTTGATATGTAGAAATGGTGGAGTAAGATTTCGTGAGTGTAAATAATTAACCTTTAGACGGTAAGGGGCCGGTCAACCAACTGTTTGACAATGTCAACTGTCTAAGAGAAGTCAATGCTCCAATGCTTTCAAGAATGTTGTGGCTCATATGTGAATTGAAGACGGATATTTCTTGTACATTAGTGGATACATTTTCCAACTCTGGTCAGAATGAGGCAAATACATAAGAGAACTATGTTGGTGTGGATTTGATTAAAAGTAGCCAATTCCAACCCTCACATACCTTTAGTAGAGATAGTCTTGTTCAAGTAATTGTTATATAAATAAAAGGTCTTAACTGACGGGAAACCTTTAACCACTTGTAGCAACGAAACAGTTCCGTCACTGAAAACTCTATATAGATCTACAGATTTAAGCTTTTTGAGATTTGCAAACTCTGCGACAGTGAACAAATAAAATTTCAGATGTTCTGCAAACACATCCAAAATTTGATAAAAAGATATTAAAACGCAACTCCACCTTTTATATTTATTGACCCTTTCAACTGGCTGGATCCTAAACTCAACGATTTCAGATTTGAAAGTCCACTAAGCACTCCCAATCTGGTGTTGTTCAAGGGATTGTCACTCAGATCAAGTTGTTCTAAATTCATCAACTTCAGCAGTCTGTTGCTATCTATAAACAAGGTTAGGAAAACTTCATCACTTTATAATATACAAAAGATTTATAATATCTATACTGCCAAGAACTTATTAATACGTACCGTCGAAGGATCGGAGGCTTTCAATTTGATTGTATCTCAGATCCAACATCTTCAACTTTGCTAATTTATTCAATTCTATCCAATTCAATCAATTGCTTTTTATGTCAATCCAACTTGAAAAGGAGGGAAACAAAAAGTGTGAAGGTAGTTTGATTATACCTTTAATATCTATACACCCTTGTAATTTGTTGTCTGCAATGGACAAGGACTTCAGATTTGATAGGCGGCTGATGAATGCAAAACTGCTGTTGAGCAGAAGATTGCCACTCAAATCAAGCTCCTCCAGACTCATCATTACTTGTCTCCCGCTATCTGAAGTCATTAATTTGATCATATACTAAACATGAATGGGTGTTAAGACTTGTGGAATATCAATCAATTCATACCTTCAAAGGAGTAGGATCCGAAGGTTTCAATTTCATTGTAGTGTAAATCCAAGTTCCTCAACTTCCTCAGTCTGCTTAATTCTTTACACATTGAAGCCCAAAAAATTAGAATTAAGACCCAAAAAGAAAAACTAAAATCGCCCCGGAAAAAAGAAAAGAAACTATGAGATAATATAGCGTACCTTTGATATTGACAGATCCTTCCAATTGATTTTCCGCCAAATTCAAAGTTTTTAAAGATGAAAGATGACCCACATGTAAGAGGATATTGTTCTTCAAATGGTTCCAACTTAAATCAAGAGTTTCCAAATTACTAAGTCTTGAAAGCCATTTAAAACCTGCTAATAACAGTTAAAAACCTTTCGCATTCATTACTTCTCTCACATATCAAGCAATATATCAAAGCTGGTCATCTAAAATGGATATGAATTTAACTTTACCATTCCTATGATCTGATCCTGTCAAATGGTTGCTTGCTAGAAGTAGAGATTTAAGAGACGAAAGCTCACTTAATGATGATAATATACTATCATTCAACTGATTGCCACTTAAGTCGAGGATTTCCAATTTTTTCAATTCAGATGATAACTTTGCAATACCTGTAACAGAATCAAGAAAAAACTCAAAACAATAAAAAAGGCAATGAAATCTAGAATTTGTATGAACATATATTGAATTTAATCAATGGCCAAACTGCTATAGGAAAGGCAACAGACCTTCATTGTCGACAAAACCAGCAATTCTATTCCCAACCAAATACAGACTCTTCAACTCCTTAAAAGGAAAAAACAGGGAAGCATTGAGATAAACATCATATCTATCTTTCTTCCATTGCCTTGTATCATTAAGAGAAAGTTGAATGACTCGTCCACTTGTGGTGCTGCATTTAACCCCATCCCATTGACAACAGTGTGAACCCTTTACGTCCACCCAGTCCTGCAAAGAGGAAGGATCATCAAAGAAAGATTTTAGTTGAAAGAGAGCAACTCTCTCGTGCTCCAAGCACCCCTCTGTTTGATACCACCCTTCTATCACCAAAACTGCAAGTAATATCCAAACCCATTTAGGCTCCATCATATCAAACCGCTCAACTAAGCTCATAACTCTATGCATTTGATCACATTGAGTCTTCGGATTTATACACAATTAAGAACCCATAATTCCATAAAAGTTGGACCGCACCTGTTAATTCATTGTCAAATTCATCGGAAAACTACACAGACACAAAAAACCCCACAAATTCAACTTTACGAGTGCTCAAAAATTGCAGCGTGTAAAGCCGAAGGTCTGGACAAAGACTTTGGAGTCATCCATAGAAAAGGAAACAACAGCAATAATAGAACTCTCTTTGTATTTTATATAGAAATTTCCTAGATATTTCTATTGTCAATACTAATCTTCTAACATATTTTATTTTCGAGAAAGACTTATTTTTACGTCAATAACATTGGTTTTAGTATGTTTAGTGTTATTTCTATTTCATCTTTGTTTTAAAATATCTTATTTAATTAAAACTTAGGGTAAACTATATGGGTGACCATTGAACTATGGTCATAAACCATTTTGACCACCAACGTTTAGAAACGATCAAACAAATCACCCAACTATTTAAACGGTTCATTCAAGCTCCTGTCCGATTTTTAATGAATGCGGTGATGTGGCAGTTAATAAAATTAGTATAATCATATATTTGACTCTTAATATTTATACATTCTATCAATTTAGTCACTATTTTAATTCAATTAAATAAATTTAACCCTTCAATTAAATAAATTTAACCCTTCAATGTAGAAGTGCCATGTATCATTATACGATTGGAGGACTAATTTAATTAATTTTAATAATTTAATTAAATAAAATTTTCACTAATTAGGTGATGACACGTGTCACCACTCGTGTAAAGGTAAAATATAATAAATAAGAAGGATGCTTAGGCGTGGATTTGAACCAATGGCTTCTTTTGTCCTTAAGCATGCCCTTACCATAAGGCCCGTCCATTTCTTTGGTTTTAATTTGCACAATATTTTATATATTGTGTTTAACGTTATTTCACGTGTGTGTGTATATATATATATATATATATATATATATATATATAAATTATTAAAATAAATTTAATAAATAAATTATATTTCACATATATATTACTTTATAGTTAATGTAACACTTAAAAATGAAAATGAGTTTACTTTTTATTTTTAAATTAAATTATTTTTATGTTTTGATTTGTATTCTCTAATTATGTAGTGATACGTGGTACTTTCATATTGGTGGGTTAAATTTAATTAATTGAATTAAAATAGTGACTAAATCGAGAGAATGTGTAAATATTAAGGACCAAATATATATTTATGTCAATTTTATTAATTTCCATGTCACCACATTCATTAAAATTAACGGACAGTAGCTTGAATGAACTATTTAAATAGTTGGATGGTCTGTTTGATCATTTTCAAACGTTGGTAGTCAAAATTGTTTATGACCATAGTTCAGTTGTATACAAGATTACACCAAAACTTAATCATCATGCGACTTTCCAAATATTTCTTAAATATAATTTATCCAAGTGTAGGTTGTTGTTAAGTAATAAATTCTCGAAAATTCGAAATTTAATTCATATGCAAACTTATTTAGAGATAACAAGATTATAAATATAAAGAAAACTTTACTTTAAGATTGAAAATATAATAATCGACTAACATTAAATAAACAAGTATAGAAATTAAAGATGTAACATGGTGTTTTATGGATTTAGTGCTATCAAAATTGCATAAATAAGTCATGGTATAAACTATGTCAATTTGTTTTGTCAATAATAAATCAAGATAATAAACACAAACATTCATTATGCCAATTCACTCCTCTATAATAAATCAAGATTAATATTATAAAATATTCTTAATTTGGTTATTAACTAAATGAATGCAATATCATAAACTAATTTAAAATGTTTTCGTTATAAGCTTAAATATTTCAAACAAACCTTTAGTCTATACAAAGAGCTTAACCCTTTTACCTTAGCAATATAAACTTAGAAAGATATCAAAAACTTAGGTCTAATTATAAGAGATTGGAGAAATAGATGAAAATGGAACATTAATTAGTGAATTATTAAATATAATGAAATGAATTATTAAAGATAATAATGTGTTGGAAATTATAGCCATCAAAATTGTCTTTTTGTAAGGTTTTCAACACACCACTTTAATTTAGGTATTGGACCATTTCCTTCCATTTTCATCAGCTTTAGACTCAATCCCATCTATATCATAAGTCCAAACATCAAAATCTACATATATGGACATGTAAATAAAATGGTTGTCCCTTATTCCCATATGTAATGGGGTGAGGATAGGGATGGCAATGGGTCGGGTCGGGTCGGGTTTTTGGGCCACCCGACCCGACCCGAGAAGAAAGGGTTTTTCACCCGTGACCCGATCCGACCCGACAAAATTAAGGTTTCACCCGACCCGACCCGACCCGAATATATGACTTAGAAACCCGACCCGACCCGACCCGAAATAAAAAAAAAAAAATTATTCAATGAAAACAGTGACTTAATTGAAAAAAATTATATATGGAGGGACATTATTGTAATTATCCCTAAATATATAGGATAAAATTATATATATTTTTCGGGTCGGGTCGGATTTTTTTCACCCTAAACCCGACCCGACCCGAACCCAAAATTTTTTAAAAAAAATCCGACCCGATCGGGTCGGGTCGGGGCGGAACCCGTCGGATTCGGGTTGAGTTGCCATCCCTAGGTGAGGAGGTAAGATAGTAGGCTGTCACTAACTCTAAGTTGAGAACAACTTCAGTAGGACATGTAACTAACATACAATTCATTTTATTAAAAATAATTGAATAATACAATAAAATACTAAAATTACAACATATTTAAAATATAAAGCATAAAGTATAAAATAGCTAAAACATATTAAATGCAAATGAAACACTTAATGAAAATATAAATATAAGTAAAATAAATATTAACGTGAGATTATTTTAAGAACTTCGCTAAATAATAAAACGTTTTAAAAATTTACATCTTCTTTTATAAATATTTTTTATGTAAATAAAACCGATAATTTTATTAAAATGAGAAAATATTCAAAATAAATTACAATAAAATTAGAAAATAAAACAATATAATTAGAATATTTTTATAATCATTGATACAATAAATGAACCACAATACAAGATTTAACTATTGAAAGGCCACCGGTAACAGTAAATCATAATCGAGCGTCGTGAAAAAATTATTTACGAACGCAAACCACGTATCAAACTCTAATCCGATAGTCCAAGAGCATAGAGAATCAATATAATAACAAATAAATGTCATATTGATCCGTCAAAATGATATCAAATCCAGCCCAAAAATCAAACATTCAGAAACACACCATAATAACATAAGAAAATATATCATAAAGACGAAATTACTAAAAACTAAAAAAAGTGAATACCCATATAAGAAAATAAATGGGAAAAAAGAATACAAGCGGCGGTTATAGGACAGGAAAAAAAAGGACGCTAGTGTGTGTTTTTTATAAACATTTTTTAATACCTTGGTAGATATTTTTATTATTTTATAAGTGATTTAATCTAAATTTACGTGTCTTATTTATTTATTAAAGAACATGTAATAATATGCTAAAAGTTATTGATTATTATTAATATATCAAATAATTGTATTATTTATAGTTTATGATTTAAAACTGACATAAAGATAAATTTATAATTTCACATCTAATCATACTTTTAAAAGATAAAATCTAAGGGTTCGTTTGGTTTTAGAAAATATAAAGTATTTTAATTTTTTTAAAAATAGAAAATGTTGAAGAAAACGTGTTTGGTTGTAGAATGAGAAAATGATTTCTGGAAAATGAAAACAAAAATAAGTGAAAATATGAAAACATAAAAAAAGATGTTTTCAGTATTTTCACTGAAATTGTTTTGAAATTTTGAAAAATAAGGAAATATTATATCTATATTTTTAACTTAACTTACATAAATTTAAATCATTTTAACAATAATTTTTTGATTTAATGATATTTGAAACCCTCAAACTTTTGTAAAAAAATCAATATGGCCCTTAAACTTTTTTACACTCAATGTAGTCCTTAAATTAATTTTTAATAATTATTTTTTTAGTATTTTTATATTGAATGTATTAAATATCTTAATAATTGTTTATTTTTAATCTAAATAATTTTTTTAATTTTTAAAAAATTAAATAAGTCCTCCAAAAAATTTAAATAATCAATTAAGTCCATATATCACGTCATCGTCTATCGAGTACTACCACAGCTTTATCATGAACTATCAAATCAATATTGTAGATTGTCATGTAAGTTTACAAACTGTCATATAAGCGTCGTGACGGTCAACATTTGATTCCGCTATTTAAAGGGTTAGATTAATTTTTTTCTAAGTTTAAAGATTATATTGGTACAAAAAATGTTCAGGGACTATAGTAATTATTTTTTCTCAAAAGTTTGAGGATCTCAATTACCACTAAACATATTTTTTTATGTTAATGAAACTTTTGTATGCGATTGCTTATAACAATATTTATGTATATTTTTTAAATTTAATATTTCTAATATGCATTAACATACTATTCTTATTATAAACTAAAATAAATCGTTTTATGGAATTTCTTATCAATTTTTATTGCTTTATATTTACATAACTCACATTTAAAATTATGTAATGATTTTTTTAATAATTATAGTTTAATTTAATTATTCAATAACTATTTGTTTATTTCTATTTTAAAAAATTAGATAGCACATAATTTTTTACTATTTGATCACATTGAGTCTTCGGATTTATACACAATTAAGAACCCATAATTCCATAAAAGTAGGACCGCACCTGTTAATTCAATGTCATATTCATCGGACGACTACACAGACACAACCCCCAAATTCAACTTAAAAAAATGACTGTTCCTTTTTCCTATATGTATGGGGTAAGCGGAGGTAAGATAGTAGGTTATCCCCAACACCAGGTTGAGAGCAGTTTCTGTAAGAGACTTCCGAATTATAAAATACCCTCCGTGGGACTCGATCCCACGACCTCAAGATTAAAAACCTTGTGCTCTACCAACTGAGCTGGATGGTCATTTTAACTTTACGAGTGCTAAAAAATTGCAGCGTGTAAAGCCGAAGGTCTGGACAAAGACTTCGGAGTATAGAAAAGGAAACAACAGCAATAATAGAACTCTCTTTGTATTTTATACAGAAATTTCCTAGATATTTCTATTGTCAATACTAATCATCTAACA